AGGCTCCAGGCTCTGAGCTGGCAGTCAGAACAGAGCCCGACGCGGGGCTCGAACCCACGAACCGCAAGATCATGACCCAAGCGAAAGTCGGATGCTTAACCGACTAAGCCACCCAGGCGCCCCTGAAACCAGTTTTTCAAAGGCACTTAATCTTTATACCACCTCTGGACCTCGGAAGAACCACAGATCCCATCCCATCAGGATGTCAGGTCTATATCAACTCAAAATTCTCCAAGTAGCTTTCACAGAACTTTACTCTTGTCTTGGATTGAAGCCAGTTCTATTTCCAAACCAACATACAGTATTTAAGGAATGAGTTTTTGCCATAGTCATTTTATAGGCTGGTAAATGGAGGTGAAACACCCAGAATTAGAGAAATCAATAGACCTGAAATGATAAAGAGAATGAAAAGCAAGGATTAAAGCTGAAAATTGTTTCAAAGAACGGAATCCACAAAATTGAGTCCGTATATAGAACAAGTATGTTCTATACATAGTAATGTATAACATACTCGGATGGAAAGGGGAGTGGACAGACTGAGAGAAGATCCCAGAATTTCTTCTGGTCTAAAGTGACCGTGACTGTTTTGACAAGGAAGCAGGCTGGGAAAGTGAGCTCAGTTAATGGTCAGGTAAAGAATTTAATTGACCTGGAATCACAAAACCCTAAATCTGGAGAGACTCAAGTGATCTGGCTCAGCTCCTCAATTTTGATGGTGACTGTAACTTTGGCAAGCCAGCACCATAGCTAACTAAGGTCTTTTGTTCCTAAACAGTGGAATCCAAACTTATTAGCTTGGCCTTAAAAAAAATTGGGGAGGAGGAGCGCTTAGGTGGTTCAGTTGGTTAAGTGCCCAACTTTGGCTCAGGTCATGATCTCATGGTTCATGGGTTTGAGCCCCGCGTCAGATTCTGTGCTGACAGCTGGCTCAGAGCCTGGAGCCTGTTTCAGATTCTGTATCTCCCTCTCTCTCTGCCCCTCCCTTGCTCACGCTGTCTCTCTTCTGTGTCTCTCAGAAATAAGACATTTAGAAAAAAAATTTTAATGTTTATTTTTGAGAGAGACAGAGACAGAGTACAAGCGTGGGGGCGGAGAGGGGCAGAGAGAGAGAGAGACAGAATCTGAAGCAGGCTCTAGGCTCTGAGCTGTGAGCACAGAGCCCCATGCAGGGCTAGAACCCATGGACCGTGGGATCATGATCTGAGCCAAAGTTGGACGCTTAACAGACTGGGCCACCCAGGCACCCCTAAACTTGTTAGCCTGGCCTTTAAAGCTCATTTAAAATCTTTCCCTCAACACTCTGGCCAGAGTGGTCAAGTAGTTGTCCTTTATATACATGTCAGCCCATTTTGTAATTTCTTGTCTAGTGCTCCCCACCTGTTTGTTTCCTGCCACGTTTGATGCTATAAAATCCTAGACCACCCATCTCTGCAGTGACTGCACCCTGCTCTGAGACTTCATAAACCTTGTAACTTGTGTAATTCATGTTACTTCTAACTATTTACTTTATGAACTCATTCTGTCTCCCCAATTAAATTATAAACTCCTATTCTGCCTCCTTTGCTAACTCCTTTTTTCTCTGGATCCCTGAATGTTAGTGTATCTCAAAGACATAGAAAGAGCACTTCCCATGCATTGTCCCCTTCTCTTATGTGATATTAGTGAAAAGCACAAGGGCCAGAAGCTCTGACACCTAACTGATTGATTGATGACTGGTCAGATGTTTTGAAATCAGAGCATGTCATTGTTTTTTATTTGTAAAATAAGAAAGTTGAATTGGGCTTCTCTTCCCCGTTTTGTGGCTTTACATTTTTTTATTATAAAAGCCATATTCCTATTCTTGTAAGCAGAAGATCATAAAGAAGAAAGGGGACAACGCAGGGCATGGGGTGGGGAGGGTTTACAGACGTGCCACCCAGAGAACACACTTTATATTAGGATGAATATTATGAATGTATATATTCACTTAGGGATTTTAAAGTACGATACTGTCTATGTCTAAAATCTTGATTCTTTTCTTGCCACTAAAGACATCAAGATAGTGTCTTTTTAAAAAGATAAATGATGGTACTACGTTTTGGTACTTGACCACAAGTCAGATTAAGTGTATGACCAAAGATTTCCCATCTGTGATACATTTAGAAGGATCCATTAGGTCCTACAGGCTGTAAAAATCCCGATAAGATTCTGAATTATCTTAAATCATCTTAAAGCAGAAGTGTGGTTCCATTGTATATATTCTGTACTGGAATAAGAGTACATACAAGTTCAACATGGTAAAAACTTAAAGATTTGTTTCTCAAAAATTCCCTTTGCTACAGGATTTCTCGTCTTCTGTACACATTTGTTAGAGACAGAGGTCCTCGGCCCAAAAGTCTTTTCTGAAAGGTAGAACATAATTCATGCAATGGGAAGGGTGGGAGCTTTAAAATTATTGCTAGGGTCCATAAGGAAGTTGGGCTCTTTCTATAAGAAAAAGTTATTGATTTATTACTAAAAATTACTTGCCTAAGGCAGACTAATTACATTTTGGCATATAATTAAAGCAATAGAAAAAGTAGTCAGGGTTTTTATTGTTTTGTTTTATTTTGAATAGCTACCATCTCTAATCAGTAAACAACTCTGAACTTCAGGTTTCTACATCTTAACACCAACAGACATTCTGGGTTTTTGTTTTTGTTTTGTTTTGTTTTTTCTACTTTTTAAGGGAATTCCAAAAAGAGAAAATTATTTGCAGTTTTTCTGGTAAGATTAAACTGACTTGGAAAGAGTCTTAAAACAGTAGTTGGGGCTCTCCAGATAAAGAATAGCAATTTTTCAAATGCCCAAGAAAGTATAATAAAGTTTCCATAAACTCATTAAAAACTTGAAACCTGATACCTACAGAGTGGTGCTGTCATCTCATTGTTCTTTAGGTCTGTCTGTTCATTTTGAGTTGGAATATTTGTTTGGAATACTCTGAAAAGGCCATTCACTTGGCTTCACCTTTGGCATATCTTGGCTCAGATGAGTCTCACAGTGGTAGCTATAAAAATTGATTCATGAAGGAGCGCCTGGGTGGCTCAGTCGGTTAAACATCTGACTCTTGCTTTCGGCTCAGGTCATGATCTTAGGGTTCGTGAGTTCAAGCCCCACATTGGGCTCCTCGCTGACTGTGTGGAGCCCACTTGGGATTCTCTCTTTCTCTGCCCCTTTCCTTCTTGTGCATAAGCATACTCTTTCTTTCTCTCTGTCTCTGTCTCTCTCGGTAACTAAATAAATCTTTTTTTTTTAATTAATTACATTCTCAGAAGAAACCTATAATCTATGGGTACTGTCTAGTTACAGTAAAGTTACACACCTTTTGAAATGGAAATGATCACTAAACTTGCAGCGTAGAGCTTCAGAATGCCAGTTTCCTACTTTTGGTCTTAAGTGTTTACAAATAGAAGGTATTTCTCTTATCCATGTAGAAAACAGAATTTATGAATTAGGCTAGCTACCTAGAAGCTTCCACCCTTAATTCACAAGTTACTCATATTCACTCATGACCATTTTTAATTAGGGATTTCACCAATAGGTAAGAGTTGGGATATCTCATTTCCTACCTTTCATTTCTACCTGTATAGTTTTTCATTTTCTACCTTGTGTACATCAACACAAAAGTTGCTAAACTTTTTTTTTTTTTTTTTTAATTCTTCATGCCATATCCTCTCTCCTTCAGTATTTCTTTTAATCTGAAGGGGGAAATGGTCTCTTTCCAGGTATCAGTTTTAAGACTTCAAAGTTACAGGGAACTGTCATTGTGGTTTCTGTGTTGGCTTATTTTAGTGGATTAGTGGATTTTTGTTTTCTTAAAAACAAAACTTGCTGCTCTTCTCCTGTCCAGTTACAGAAGATTAAGATGGTATTTTACTTTTCTAGTCTTGCCCCATTCTCTCCACCCCAAATATTTCTTTCTACACACAGCACTATTTAATTCTTGCTAAAACTTGGCTTTTGTCATGTTCAGGAGTCACATTATATTAGTTTATTCATTCTCCATATGTTTATTCAGTGACTGATGTGAGCCAGGCAATGCCCAACTCCAGATTCCTCCAACTAGCTATATATGTTGTCTGTACCCTGCTGTCCTCTCACTTATCCAGGCTCTAGTTGTCTGTCCTTAGTTACCAGTGTGTGCTTTATACCGCATATCTTGCCGTGCTTTTCTGAAACACCATCCCCCTCCTTCAGGTGCTCTTATGAAAAGATTTAATAAGTCATTTATTATATAGTTGAATTTAAGTCACTATTTTACCTCTTAAGGCTTTTACATTTTGGCTTTTCCTGTAAATGTGAATGAAAAACTGTCTTTGAAAGAATTCAGAGCTGTGTGCACATGCAGAGGTTTTGAAGGGGCAGAGCGCCCCCTGCTGATTTCTTTGAAATCACACCTAATGAACAGCCCTCTGCCTTCCCCTCCCACCTTGTACTGTTTGTGCTTCATCCCATTTCCATAGCCCTGTAGCTGTCACTCTTCTGCTTGAACTGCCTGCACCTCTTTCCCTCAGCGTTCCGCTCAACCTATCCTACATCCTTCCTCAGGGTGTTTCTGTGTCCTCTGTCATTCACTTCCTTTCTGTGAGTTCCTCTGTGGTTCATGGTCACCATCACTGAGATTGGAACTTAGTTGTTGTTTGTTTCAACTGGCTCTTTTCTTTTTCCCCATCTCGAGTATAATCTTGAAGAAAATTGATCCTGTCATCTTAACTTTCTGTTTAGATGGTGCCTAGCAAAAAGCCACAGTTGGCATTCAGTGAATATCTAAATAGAAATGAGAACATGCCTAGGCCCACATATTTATATTGTATTTAGCAACATTTTGCAAAATGAGTTCATCCTTCATTAGAAAGTGGAAACGTCATCATGTCATACTTCAGGGCATTGTTAAAATTTTTTAAAAGGGAAAAAAACGTCAGCAGTTTTTTTTTCTGTAAGTGCTAACATCTGAAGAAAGTTTGATTTTTACTTCTTAATAGGTGGTTTGTTCTGGATGCAGAAACCAGAGATCTAGTTTCTATCCACACAGATGGGAATGAACAGCTCTCTGTGATGCGCTACTCAGTAGGTAGGCAGATTTACCCCCTCCTGGCATTCACAGCATTTCTCTGAAATTGCATATTTTCACTTCCAATAAAACTAACTACGTTTTTTCCTACTCTCTAGACTTGTTAACTATTGAATATGTTTCCCCCAACATCATATTAAATTCTGCTGCAGGAGACTGCAAAAGAACTTCTTGAGTTAAACAACAATACATATAAATCGTCAAGCAAAATTAGAATGAACTGTTACAACTGCTTTTGCAATTGAAAGCAGAATATAGTACAGTCAAATACCACTTTAGGGGAATTACATATACTTAGAATTTTGAATAGATATTAGGCTGACTGTTATATCTATTTGGCAACCTTTTTTTGTATGTAAGAAAATATAAAAGAAGTTATAGTAATGTTCAAAATACACACTGTGATAGAACCTATTCAGGTTCTTTAAAATCTAGTTACATTGTTACTGGCTACATAGTAGTGATTGGTTTTGTTAATTAGATAAAATACTCAGCAGCTCATTATAAGAGTTTAATAAATTCATTTGGCCTTGTTTGAAAAATTCTTTATACCTTACTCAAAATGTTAATTATGTTTTCACAGTATTCCAATTTCTTTTCCCTATTATTAATCTGGTTTTGACTCATATTGTTCTTCCCTGGAATTAGTGTGAGTGACATTTGCTTATATTTGAAAATCTATGCCAGTAGTTGTTGGCTCAGTGTGGGATCCAAAGGATCTTTTTGATTGCTTCTAAGTTGTTTCAAAGGAAGCACAGAATACTGTTTTCAGAGTTGAACATGGAAGGAAAAGTATTTGCTTCAAGCTATAAGCCTGGCAAGTTATCTTAAAGCAGAAAAGGTATTCTATTTGGTTTGGCTTTTTTAGTCTATACTAGCAAATTATTGCAAATGTAGCAGTTAAAAATCCAAAGGTCAGTTGGACTTTATTGACCATCTGTTCAAAGTGGTAAGAACAATAGAAGAGACCATGAAAGAAGAGAACTTAGTCCCTTCCCAAGAGACTGTAGTTGGAGAAGTCATATATGCTCGGCTGAAATGAGCAATTGTACCCTCAGCTTATGAGTACTGTGTGCCGAGACCCATAAGAACAGGTTAACCTCCCTGGGGCCATATCGTAGCTGCCTAGAAAAGATGAGGCTAAGGTCCAAGGCCTGTAAGGATCTCCAGAAAAATGACTGCTTCTCAAGTGCGCTTAGTGATGGAAGGATTTATTCATCAAATGTCAAATACCAGTTAAATCTGTGAGATTGAGCAACATTTGTAAAAAAGCTTTTAGTACAGGTCCATAGCAGCAAGTAAATCCGTCAATACATTTCTCTAGTTAACACTTTTTCCTGTTTCATTCTAGATGGCACCCTCCTGGCTGTAGGATCTCATGACAACTTTATTTACCTCTATGTAGTCTCAGAAAATGGAAGAAAATATAGCAGATATGGAAAGTGCACTGTAAGTGGTTGAAGTAAAGTAAGCTGTAAAATTGTTGGAAAATTTTACTTCTGTTAAAAAGAGTTAAATGTTTACATTGATTGATGTTTCCGTTATTTTCTCTCACTGCTTTAAACTTTAATCTCACTCTTTGAAAATGGAGATTACTTGATGCAAAATACTGCAGTTCCCTGTGTGCTTTAGAAGTATTTCTTCTTTTGGGGTGCCTGCGTGGCTCAGTCGGTTAAGCATCCAACTCTTGATTTCAGCTCAGGTCATGATCTCACAGTTGTGAGAGCGAGCTCCATGTTGGGTTCTGTGCTGAAAATGGAACATGCTTAAGATTCTCTCCTCCTTCTGCCCATCTCGCCTGCTCACATGCTCAATCTCTCCCCTCCCCTCCCCCCACTCCATCCCCACCCACCTTCTCTCTCTCAAAAAAAAGTTTCTCCTTTTGATGGAAGTTTAACACTTCTTTTTAACTAGATTTAAGGCAGTTTCTTAAATCACAGCTCTGTCCAAAGGAAGCCCTTAGAATAATAACAATTCTTAAAAATGGAGTAAGTCAGAAATGAGAGACAATAATCTTTTAATCCCAGTGTCCCACATTCTTGTCCTCCCTGCAGTTTCCACAGATCTCTCTTACCACTAAAGGTGATTTATTTAGAGATGTGTCTGCATTAAGAGAGTTAACAGAAGCATATTTTCTTTCATTTGTTGTCCTGATTGACTAGGTTATCATTGTAAGGTAAAGATTCGATTTAGTACTACAGGTATACTGAGTACTTACCTTATGGCAGTATTCTGCTAATTTAAGAAATGTTCTGGACACCAGGAATATACATAGGATTTTTGTTTCTTGTCTTCAAAAAGTGTACATTTGAGGGGCGCCTGGGTGGCTTAGTCGGTTAAGCGTCCGACTTTCGCTTAGGTCATGATCTCGCAGTTCGTGGGTTCGAGCCCTGCGTCGGGCTCTGTGCTGACTGCCAGCTCAGAGCCTGGAGCCTGTTTCAGTCTGTGACTTCCTCTCTCTCTGACCCTCCCCTGCTCACGCTGTCTCTCTCTCTCTCTCTCTCCTAAAAATAAATAAAACATTAAAAAAAAAATTAAAAAAAAAAAGTACATTTGAGCTGAGGGCAAGATAAGAAAGTGGTCAAGGGCACAAATTTGGGATCAGACTACCTAGATTTGAATTCTTATTTCACTACTTATGAGCCGTTGTAACCTTGGGCAAGTTAACTTAAGCCTTCTGTTTCGGTTTTCTCATGTCTGAAATGAGCATAATAGCAGTTTTCTACTTCACTGGATTAAAATAAGTTAATACGTATCAAGTATTTTGAATAGTGCTTGGCAAATAATAGGTACTCAGTATGTGGTAACTATTATTTTTATAGAAAATGAGGTAGCATGGTGTGTATGTATGTCAGGAGATTAGGGTTAGAAAATTGATGAATTAGTGATTAGTGGCCGCACAGATCACAAAATAGTTTTAGGGAGATAAAAGAATTTGTTTTTAGAAGCATGTACATAAGCAAAACCCATTTACTATTCAAAGAAGAGACTTATTTATTTACTTTGTGTATACGCACCTAAAACCAGCCTATATAAGCAGTCTACAAACAACCTCAAAGTTTTAGAATTTATCCAAATTTTTTTTGCCTTGACAATTATGAATCATTACCCAGTAATTTATTGAAATCTCTCTCTTAATTGATTTTTATCTTAATATTTGTGATGTGGCATACTAGAGCAATGCCTCTTTGTACCACATGAGTAAATGAAATGCTCCAGTGAAAGGAATTTTCAGGTTACTGAGGTTTACCCCACCAGGCACCAAAGTTTTTCTTATTTTCTTTACCTCAGCCTTTTAAAAAAGTCCATGTCTTAGTGAAGAGAGCATATCAATTATAATTTAATTGTGGAACCATATGAAATTTTCCAGGGATCCTTATATAGCACATACTTGGCTCAGCTCATTGTACTGATGTAGAGACTGAGTTTGAGAGAAGATAAAGAACTTGGCCTTGGTTACATCTTGACATGGTGGCAAACCTGGGGTGGGAACCCTCTTCTCTTCCTAGAGCAGACTTTCTACTGTAATGATAATGCCTCAGATTTTTCAATATATATCTCATTGTCCTGAGAATGACCTTGAGAGTGTTGAGAAATGGCAAGCTTATCAATTGCATGAGACTTGGCCTCCAATTAGGCAACTTTTGTCTTGAAAGCGCTTGAAAGTATTATTTTGAGATACCCTTAGGAACTGTTAAAGTTGATAGTACTGTTTGAGCCTGTAATGAGAGGCTCTGCTACTCTGCTTTTCTAATTATCTTCTGTTTTGTACTTTGCTTCCAGCTGTCACTTCTCCTTGCCGTCTCCTTCCACCAGCTGGTGTTACAGTTTCATGTTAACTGCTTTTATCTGGTATCTGTTAGGGTAGAGGACAGACAGAACAGAGCTAATGCTGGTTTTGCCGCTTAATAGATTTCAACTTTAGGCAAGTTAGTTGACTTCTCTCTTGATTTTTTTTTTTTAATGTTTATTTTTGAGAGAGAGAGAGAGAGAGAGAGAGAGAATGATCAGGGGAGGAATAGAGAGAGAGGGAGACACAGAATCTGAAGCAGGCTCTAGGCTCTGAGCTGTCAGCACAGAGCCTGACGTGGGGCTCGAACCCACGAACTGTGAGATCATGACCTGAGCTGAAGTCAGATGCTTAACCAACTGAACCACTCAGGCGCCCCGATTTTGTTATCTTAAAATTGGACATTTTAATAGTTCCTACTACATAGGATTGTTGTCAAGATTAGGAACTACTCTCAGTTGCAAATACAAATGCTGTTTTCTGTTTCAATTTCAATATTTTCCTATTACTAGCCAATATTTTAAGTAACCAGCATAGCTGCAGAAGCATATTTATTTAGAATTTTTAGAGAATGTCTCTCTAATAAATTAACCAAGCAGTTGGAGCCTGTCCCTCTTGATGGCATCACTTTATGTGGAAATGACAATTGGGAAGGTGACTGGTACCAAGAACACCAAGAAGTACTTCTCAGTAGAAGGCAGCTAACTGATCGTATGTGAGTTCTTTCCTCATCAGTGGCTTGCTTGACAGGGTTGTGACAGGCCAAAGCCTTGCTCACAGTCATAAGCTAAGAAACAAAACCAGACCCATTTTAGAGACATGGACTTACATCATGCATATTCTCCAAAGCTGGTTTGTAAAATACCAATTTATGAGAGCTATAACTGATAAAGGACTGAATCCTAGTTTCCTCTGGGCGACCCAATTTTCTCTCCATAAGCAGGCCTCAGGAAACCAGCTCATAATCAGAACGCTAGTTTATTCATTTAAATAAGATCTATAAATGCCACGGGGACAGGACATGCACCTAGACAGAAATATGCATGTGAGACTGGAGTGTCGTCAGGAAGTGAGCAAGCTTGGCACCTCCGTCCCCAGGAGGTCAGCAGCTGCCTCTGCACCCGGTCCTGCTGCAGGTCCCTCTACCCTAGACCTTCGGTGGTGCTGGCCACACTTGCCGTGGCTCTGTGTATATGCTGACCCCCTCCTGTCACCACCTCAGTAATACTTGCTGTGGACAGATTCGTATGTGCAGTTGGGTAGTACTGTAGACTTGCCGGCCTCGGACCAATTAGCACTCTTGTTTCTTTACCCTTTTCTCACATGACTTATTTGATGTTAATTCTAAACATCACATTCCCACTGCAGTTTCCGCAAACCCACAAAATTTGTTCTTCCATTTATTGACATTTACTTGCTATTATGTTGCAAATATACCCCTTCAAACACCTCAAGTTTGTTTCTACACCTAGCTGGTACTGGAACTTCTCTTTGAAGGAAGCCTAGTGATCTTCCAAGAAATCATCTGCTCTTCATGAGCCTGACCTCTCTGGGCTGGCTGAGGGATAGAGAGGAGGAGACATAGAATAGAGTCCTCCTGGGGCGCCTGGGTGGTTCAGTCAGGTAAGCGTCCCACTCGGCTCAGGTCTTGATCTCACAGTTCGAGCCGCGCACAGGGCTCCCTGCTGTCAGCACAGAGCCCACTTCAGATCCTCTGTCCCCTTCTCTCTCTGCTCCTCCCCCACTTTCTCTCTCTTTCAAAAATAAACATTAAAAAAAAAAAAAAAGGAATGAAGCCATCCCTCTGTCCTGTTTCTGTGTGACCAGCCTTTCATTTTCTCTTCTGTGGCCTGTCTGCGTCTCACTTCCCGTGTTTGCCCCTGGGAGCGCACGGTCTTCCTGCTGCTCTTGGGTTCTCGCATCCCCTCCAGCACACACCCCCCAAGCCTACTTGACCAGATCTGTGGCATTTTGTGCCTCTTAATCAGATCATACAATTTAGAATGACCTTTTGTCTTTCTTTTACTTCCCATGAAAACATCCATCCTCTTAGCGTTTAGTACACACTAGAAAAGGTGGTTTGACTAACCTGTAGGCTTCAGGGGTTCATGGTTATATCATATATTCACTGTATAAGCAGTTTGATTTTATAAGTGCTGCTGTGGAAAAGTGTATAAAAAGGCTTTGGATTCAGAAGCTCTTTTTAACTTGTATTCTGTAAAGCCCCAGGGTTTGGGGGTGGGGCTGGGCCAGGCTAGTATGGATCTGATTTTCTTTGCTTTGCATATGGGGCTTCTCTTGTAAGATTTAATATGACAGAAAGATTTTTTAGCTAAAAAGAATTTGATGACTGGTTGGTTATCTGAAATACCTCTGAGGATTGTAAGGTTTTATAGTTTTGTTGCTTTCCATACAATGTTTCTTTACCTCAGCTTTTCCTGTGCTATTTTGAAAATGCACTGAAAAAGTCCTTACTTGTACATTCCTTTTCTAAAATGCTACTTTTAAATTACTTTCTGCTCATCTTCAGTGTTAGAGAAATGACTAAATGATAAGCATGATTGAAATGCTGTGCTTCATTTGGTCCAGATGTCTCTGACCTGGGCTTAAACTCTGGCTATACCTATTCTTTACTATAATGGTGACTTCAGAAAAGTTA